ATAAAATAATTGATTATTTTAATACATGAACGAGTAAAAAGTGCTAGTTGTGTAAATAATGTTCCGAGATGTGCTATTTTGGGAAATATTTTTAAAAATAATGTTATTTATGAAAAAAAGTCGCGAAATGATCGATCATAATATAAAATAATCGATTATTTTAATACGTGAACGATAAAGAGTGCTAGTTGTGTAAATAATGTTCCAGATGTGCTATTTTGGGAAATATTTTTAAAAATAGTGTTATTTATGAAAAAAAGTCTTTTTTCTCTATTCTCAAATCCTTGGTCATTCTCTATTTGTAATACTCGATATCTTTCTATTACCTTGATATTCAATTCTTTCAATCATCTTTTATCTTTAATATTTCAATATTTAATTCTGAACTTCAATATTTTCTTAACTCAATTCATAAGTAAGTTTGTATATAACACACCATTTCTATGTGGCAAAATAGAAAATGTAACTAAACGTATTTTTAAATTACTAATTACAAAATTTATAACTATTTATAGGAATATGATTTTTTGTAATAATACCGTAAAACAATAACTAATTATATGATTGCAGTAAAATTTCTGCTAAAAAATAATATAAAATTATGAAATAAACTTTTCCATAAAAAATTTTAGAAAATAAAACTAAGAAAATAAAATGAAATAAGCTTTATCATAAATTTAAAAATTTAGAAAACTATATAAAAAATCTTTTGTGAATTGATTTATGCTTATTGTAGTTTAATAAAACACTTATTGTTGGGTTTCACTAGTACAAAAATCACTTTTAACATCGAGTGAATTCAAGACTTTCAACATCGGTTCTGATGAGCAGATGTAGAAAACACTTTCTACATCGGTTCTCGGATGAGCCGATGTAGAAAGTCTTTTATAAAATTAAGAGAATTATCAGCGGCAAGATTCGAACTCGAGTACCTTAGAGTCGAAGGCTGATACTCCAACCACTAAGCTACTAGAATTTTCTGATAATAACTTATACATAAATTATATTTATATACAAATAAAAATGTATATCCTTGTAAATATATAAATATAAAATATATAAATACAGATACAAATATATTTATATATTTATATGTTGAATGTGAGAGCGCGCTCGAGAGTGAAAGTGTGTGGCAAGTGGGTTTTCAAAATTTGATGTTAAATTTGTGAGCGAGTCTCTTTATATGAATTTGTAATTTAATAATAGAATAAAATCTTTATAATTTATTTATAATAATATAGAATATAATCTTTATAATTAATTTATATAATGATATAAAATAAAGAAAAAAATTATTTTATATCATTATATAAATAAATTATAAAGATTATATTTTGTCATTAAGTTATAATCCATATAAAGAGACTCGCTCATAAATTTGACATTAAATTTTGAAAATTCACTCGACACACACTTTCATCCTCGAGCGCGCCCTCACATCCAACATATAAATATATAAATATATTTGTATCTGTATTTATATATTTTATATTTATATATTTTATATTTATATATTTACATAGATATACATTTTTATTTGTATATAAATATAATTTATGTATAAGTTATTATCAGAAAATTCTACTAGCTTAGTGGTTGGAGTATCGAGCCTTCGACTCTAAGGTACTGGGTTCGAATCTTGCTAGTGACAATTTTCTTAATCTGATCTTAAAAAATATAATAAATAATAAAAATATAATATAAAAGGGAGAAGAGACCTACCTAAAAAAATATAAAAAATATAATAAATAATAAAAATATAATATAAAAGGGAGAAGAGACCTACCTATCAATAGATAGGGTAATTGGAGAGGGGTTATGAATAAATAAAAATATTAGACTTTAACATCGGTTAAAAGTCTCTGAGAGCCGATGTTAAAAGCTTATTACGTACTAGTGTTTTTTTTTTCCTTAAAACAATGATGTTGGATTGCGTGTTTGTTATTGCAAAGCATATAAAAAAGGAACTATAACTTGTTCAACGTGATAAGGTATTGCATTGTTTTGTTCATCACCTAACAAAATGTCTATGTCAAGATTCATATATAATAGCTTAAAATGTTGAAATTTAGAGGAAAAATATATCTTATTTTTAACATTTTATACTATTTTTTCCTTAGTCAATTCATATTGGAAATAATCTTTAGAAAGATGAATTGTCTTTTGCATGTCAAACTTATTTTATATCATTTTTAACTATTAGAGTTTTCTTAAAGGTGATGTGGTAATGTTGTTTAATATTTTTGAATTATCTACTAGTAACTATCTAATATATTAAATTATTTAATTTTTTTCATATATTTTTGTTAAATAACTTATAAAAATAAATAAAATAAAATAAATAAAAAATATTGTTTTTTTAAATTTATTATAATATTTTATGAAAGTAAAATCAATAATAAATTAGTTTAAAATAATATAATATTAATAAATTCATATTTTAAATATTTTAAGTTAAAAAACAACTAATAATTCTCCAATTGAATATGCAATTGATACGAATGAGAAGTACACAGCTTCTTCAGTCCAATCCAATACTATGGGATGCGATCGAACTCCAACATAGACACATGCTTTTCCTGTTACTGTCGGATTAGAAAATAAAGATTCTAGTTGTTTCTTTTAATTCATTACTTTTGTCTTTTATCATAATTGTTTTTCAATATTTTTTTAATTTTAAAGGTTTATTTTTTTTATTTTTATATTTTAATTAAGTAAATTATTTCTCAACAGGATTTTAGATAAATATATTGTATTAAGGTTTAACTAAACAAAATAAAAAATAATATAGACAATTAAACTTTAAATTAAAGTTATAATTTTTCTAAAACTTAGAAATTAAAACCGTATAAAAAAACAAAAACATTAATGAAATTGAATACGGACTGAAATTACAAGTCTTTGATATTCGGGTGTTTTTTTATATATTTATTAAGGAAAACATTTTTAAAGAAGATTTTGATAATATTGATTTTCATTTCTTTCGTTTTTAGTTACGTTTATTATATTTTTAGTTCTTATATTTTAATTTATTTGAGTTTTACTTTTATGTGTTTAAAATGCAATTTACATTTTTTACATGACACATTTAATCATGTTTTAGGTTATAATTGGGTAAGGTGTAACCATTGTCACCCTGTAGATATAGTATACTATATTATTATAATATATGGTGTTTAACAATAATTTATGTTTATAAATTTTAAATATAATAATAATTTTTTTAATGGGTGATCATGTCATAAAATATTAATAAATATATTAATAAATATGTATATAAAACTTTTATTACAACTATATTAGTATTGTCATTTAAATATAGTATTTATATTTGTAATATTATTTTATCATGTAATTATGATTATGATATATAAAAAAATAAGGATAAGTTAAATACTTAAATAATAATTATTTATTAAATCTATTATACATATAATATTATATAATTAATTATATCTCATTAAATAATGTATATCAAATTACATATAATTCATGTAGATATATATCTTTGGAAAATTGCATTATGCTCCAAACTCGAGAGATTAACAATTGTGGATCATATTAAAATCGATACTACACTGTATATTCTAACTATCGACACCATTTTAGTTTTTTTTTTTTTTAGAGTATGACTACTACCAATATTATCCATTCTAATGCACCTCTTTCATAATCTCAGAGTAAACCATAAGTAATCTCCTCTCCACTTCTCATCTATTGATACCTTAGTTTACTTAACTATGACTATTAGTGGAACTTGAGATCTCATTTAATCTACACAAGCATATTAGCCAAACTAACACTACACATTCCCTCTCCCAATACCCATAATCAAACACATCTCAATCGATTATGCATTACATCCCTGACTTGACTTGACCTCATATACACAAATATATCTCATTCAATTATGAGTCACTCTCTTGGTTCTAGTAAGCTTTACAAGATATATCTTAGTCTCAAAATAACACACAACACCCCTATATCATCTTATAATTCATAGCACATGTTGTTTTCTTAACTCTTTGTTATTTGTAATAAATTATGCTTGTTTTGAATAAATATTTTAATTTTGTATTTTTCTTATTTGACCTTTCTTTACTTTTTTGGCCAAAACTTTCTTTCTAGATATCCTTTTTTGCTAATTCTTATTTCATTGAGTTCCTAATTTTCAAGGCTTCAATTTTTATATATGAAACATGACATTTATAGTTTAGAGCTATTTATTTTTATGATTTTTATAAGTTTAGATTGAAATATTTCAAAAAACTTCTCCAAAATTTTGCTTGGATGAGAATTCTCGCTTTGGTGAAAATTTTGTCAAAACAATTCTTTATTCTTTCGTTCAAGCAAATGTAGTCTTACTTGAGTGAAAAATTAAGCAAATGTGAGTGTAGTGTGTAAAGTGGCTAGTCCTAAACTACCATCGGCAAAACAAATAGAAAAATACACAATAGGAACATGTCTTCTATCCTAATATTTATTGAAGTAAAGATATTTACACTGAAATGACATAAAATCATACAAAATACACAAATAAAGCTAGAAAAAAAATTAAATGAATAATAATAAAAAATTTTAAATTTTCGCATCTAATTATGATAGGTTTAGCTTAACTCCCCAATGGAGTCGCCATTCGTCACAACCAAATCCCGATGGGACGAGGAAAATAGGAGGAAATGAAACAAAAGAAAAAAAAATTTTCTAAATGAAAGAGAACAATGGAGCCGCACCAATATTTATTTCAATGAAAATATCAGAAAAAATCTTTAAAAGAAAAAAAGAGTGGTATGTGAAACAAAAGTTTGATCCAAGAGTCAGTTATATGTAGGGAAAGTACTAGCACCTTATAACATCTGTTCTAAAAAACGAGTTACCTTTAATTAGATGTGAAAAAGTTAAATATCTTAAAAATTATTTATTTTCTTCTCAAACTTATATATCTATTAAATTTGCTACTAAAAATAAAAGATTTTTTTTTATATTTTTTGGTTCAACAGAGGTTATCTCTCCACACACATTAGCTATAAAAGAGTGTGAAGCACTAGAATCATATAATACTCTCAAGGTAGTTTTAGCAATAGAATACAAACCTTGGACAAAATCTCCTAACCATGAAGTGTTAGCTCCACTCAAAGTAAATACTTTGCTTGCTGCTTAGGGCTTTGCATCACGCCCTCTTGATTTAGAAGACATAACTCTTGAAGTTGTAGTGGTCATCTTACTCTGGTCACAATCCTTCATCCTATGACCTATCTTTTGGAAAATAAAATACTAACTAGGAAAAGGTATATGTGGTGTTGTTGGAGTGGTCAATTGAGGGAAAAATTCTAGTAATGTGACCTTCCACACTTGAAACATTTGACTCCCATCTACTATTGAGTGACACTACCTCTACTATTACTCTTATAGGATCAAACATAAAGCTTCTTCTGGATAGTTGTACCTTTTCCACTCAAAGAACCACCTAATTGGCTTGTGAAGAATGTACTTCCACCTAACTTAAGTCTCTCGACTGTCTGGGTTCTCGACCAAGATAAGAAACTCTTTAATGGATAAAGATACCACTAGAAGTTGTAGCTCTAACCTCAAACATCCTACACATCTAGGACTGAAAAGTCGCCTAGGTGTAAATTCTTGCCAAGTGTTTAAATCTAGTGGCATAGTCACGTATTGACATATTACCCTGCTCCAACCTTAGAAACTCAACCTTCCTCTCAAATCGAGAACTATCAAGGAAATAATTCTTTAATAATCTCTTGCGAAAGTTCTTCCAATCCATTAGCTCTCCCTTAGCAGCCATTATTTGTTGAGTCCCCATCCACCAAAACTTAGCCTCTTTAATTAACAAAAAAGTTGCAAAGGTAACTCTCTTATCTTCAAGAGATAGAGTAGCGCTAAAGATCTTCTTCACCTCCCTCATCCACTACTTTGTTGCATCTGACCTTACACTACCACTAAATTTAAGGAGGACTATGTCTTATTAACTCAATCAGTCTCACCTGCTCAAGAAGTCGCCATCTTTGGACATCCTTTGATATATAATAAAGTAAGGTACAAAATTTTAAGAAGATAAGGTGCAAAATTTTAAGCAATAAAGTAAGCAAAATCAAGGAAAATTCTCACTGGATATTAAGATAGTTGCCTATGTATATGTGAAGGTGCATTTCCTTGGATTAGGAGGCAAGGGTGAGAGTAAGAAAAGAAAGAAACAAGTGCAACAAGGGCTGGAAATGGACCAACCCCTAAGAGAGGAAATTGACGTGAGAAGTAAGAAAGAAAAAAGGAAAGAAAAATGGAAAAGGAGAAGATGGTGGTGGTGGTCGCACGCCACTTAGGGGAGGAAAACCACCCTAGATAAGTGAGATTGTCGCTACTTGAACCAAAGTTCAAGATAAGACTCAAAGAGAGATTGCAACACTCAAAATACTCTCACAAAATTCTCATTCAAATTCATTTACATGAAGGGGAGCCTTTAATTTATAGGCTTTAGGAGGGGGACATGGAGGGAATAAAAAAGGAGGTGAGATTTCCCATGGGTTGTCTAAAGCGTCTTACACCCTCAAGGCTAGCTTCTCCCTCTCCAAAAAGGGACGTAGGACATGAAAAAGGAGTATCATACACCTTTGGGTTGACCATACATGTATCCTATGTATCCGAGTCCTCTTTTTCAACAAAAAGAGGTGGTATATTATTCAAAAAGGAGGTGTAAAAAGTGAACCTACAAAAAGAAAAGCGAAAATTGTTAGAATCGTGCAGCGGAATGTTCGCATGTTCGGACAAAAACCAAGAGGGGGGGTGAATTGGTTTCTTAATAAAAATTAGGTTTTCAAAATTTTCCCCAAATTTTACCGATTAAAAACTGTGTAAATGTAAATAGAGAAGAGAAGAGAATCTTACACAGGAAATTTATACTGGTTCGGATCAAAAGACCCTACGTCCAGTTGCTAATCACTCAAACAGAGGATTAACGCTGTCACTATAATCAAGTTGTTACAAACAGATTACAATTGAAAAAAGAAAACACCTCTCTTGAAATCCACAAGAGATGATGAACAGCTTTCCCTAGAGACGGCACAACACACAATCCACTAAGAACTCCACTTAGTGATTCTTATCGCTTCTAGCCCACACCAGGTTCCAAAAGCCCCTTTTTCTTGCAACAAACAGTTCTCTGGCACTACAACACTTAACTTTTGTATGAAAAAGGTTGTTCTCCTTTTCTGAGTGCCATAGAGAAGCTTAAGTAGAGAAATTAGGGTTTCGGAATTGGGAATTTCGGAATTAAGGTTCTTGGGAAAAGGGTTTTCGAAAATAGGGTTGATTTGAAGTTAAAATTTGAAATCTGACTGAAAAATCGATTAAATCAAGAGTTAATCGATTATTACAGAGCCAAAATCAACAGAACCCTGAAACTCACTGTTTTAATCGATTAAAAGGGGTTTTAATCGATTAAACCGCCTGTGAATCGATTAATAGGAGTTTTAATCGATTAAACCAGTGAGCAGATACAGAAAATGATTTTTCTCATTGTTTTAATCGTTTATTTCCCTATTTAATCGATTAAAGCCGAGCCTGGATGATAAATTTGAGCTTTTTGAAGCTTCTAAGGTGCAGACTATGTACCGGCTATCTTAAACACTAATATTACAGACTCAATCTAATTGAAACAGAGTTATTACAATTCAAAACAAGTATTCAACACTCTAAGTCTTTGAGTTCTTGAATCATCATCAAAATCAACAATCTTCATGCCCATCAAGTGCAACATCAAGTCCTTGAATGTTCAACAATCTCCCCTTTTTGATGATGATCAAAATTATCTTTTAAAGCCTTGTAATAACTCTGTTTTATCTGTCATACTAACAAACAGATTAAACATACCGAGATAATATTTAAAAACAATAATATTAGGCTTTAAATATTTCTCCCCTATTTTGATTATAATAAAAAATAATTCTTCTAAGGCAAACATAAGAGCTCCCCCTCAAAATATGCATAACTTAGAGAAAACTCCCCCTCAAACATAGCAAAAACGAACACCACATTTTATTTCGGATAAAAGCATTCATTACAATATAAGAGAAAAATTACAAATTTTTAAAATTCTTCACTATCATCACTATGAAAGTGTGCATCAAATCTATTTTCTAAACGACACACTTTATCATCTACATCAGATATACGCCGAATTATTTCCTCATGCCGTACTCCAGAAAGAGTGAAGAAAGACTGCATTCTCTGATTCATGTCAGATAACATGTCTTCCATAGATTGTCGGGTTTCATGATGAGTAGAGGAAGTTCCAACACTTTGGATTTGATCGAGAGGAAACTTCGGTAGCGGGAGGCATATCTTCATCAGAATCTTCATTGTCACCATCTTGATTTGGAACATCATCCTTGTGAACATAGATGTCATTGACACGCACCATTTGTAGTTGGATCAATGTGCTGTCAAGCATGCGATTCAAGTTATTTGTTCTTACTGTTTGTTCACCTTCGACATTGACTCCCTTATATTCAAGAATCCGAGAGATAAGGAGGGCATATGGAATTTTGAAGGTGGGATGACGTTTGGCTTTTAACATAGTCATGATGACAAGAACGCCCCAATCTAAAGGCTCATTATTCATTATGGCATGAATAATCCTAAGATCAATTGAAGAACATTGAGCATGATTTGTAGCCCGAGGACATAGGATCCAGACAATTAGATGTAGAATCATGCGTTCCTCCTTCTTTAAAGGTCCAACAAGAAGGAGACGCCCAATCTCCATGGAGGGATTTTGCAGAAAAGAACGGTAAGCTAAGAACTTGTCAAAATCATCTAGCTCACCATAAATGTTAATAGCATCTTCTCTAATTGGAAAGTGAGTGACATTTTCCCAAATATCATCGTCAAGAATAATTGTGACGCCTTTTACTCTAGAGGTAGCAATTTGATCTCTAAATTTAAATCTAGAGTAAAATACCCTAACAAGGTCAGGATAGTACCTTGCATTTGGATGAAGGGAAGAACTCCTTGAATTTCAAGAAGGTTGGGAAAATTGAATCCCCTATTGATGAATTGCTCACCAATAAGAAACTTAGGAGAAATAATAGCACGTTCCTTCCAGTAGGTCAGAAATTCTTGTTGGCCATCTGTATCAGAAATCCATCCTTCTACAGAATTAGGATGGGGACGAGATGAGGGTGCAGATCTTCTTCTAGTAGGGATCTTAGCACGAGAAGATGAGGCCATTGAAAGATTTGAGGAATAACAAGAAGATTTAGAAAGCTAAATGTATTGAGAAGAGGGCAAGATTGCTAGAATAAGGCAAGAAAGCTTGATTTCAAGAGATAGAAGTGAGTATAAGTGAAATGGAGGCCCCTATTTATAATCAAGCATGTCTAACGGTCATATGGAAGAGAATATAGGTCAAGAAGTCCGTTGGCAACGGCTAGGAAGCCAAACTTGCCAGGTTAAATCGATTAAAACTCAGATTAATCGAGTAAACCAGTGCCAGAACCATTTAATCGATTAAATTGAGCAGATAATCGATTAATTCTGTATTTAATCGATTAATTATCGAATTAATCGATTAATCCAGAGAGGAGTGCCTTGTTTTGAGTGTTTTGGATGCAAATAATCGATTATAACTCCAATTAATCGATTATTCCAGAGAGTACATCAAATTTTTGAGGTTTTTACACATGATTAACTATGAACATCCTACACAATGAATTATAACATCATAACCATCCAAAAACTGTCTTATTAAGCAGAATTTAAGCTATTTCTAATATCCCTAAGTCTCTTCTAAGATCATAAAATCTATCCTTGGGTAGAGGCTTAGTAAAGATATCTGCTAATTGATGCTTTGTATCAACATACTCTATTTTACAGTTTCCTTTGCTGATATGATCTCTCAAAAAGTGATGCCTAATTTCTATGTGCTTAGTCCTAGAGTGCATTACTGGATTCTTAGTAAGATTAATTGCACTCGTATTATCACACATCAAAGGTATGTCATTTAAAAATATACTATAATCTTCTAAATGTTGTTTCATCCACAAAATTTAAGCACAACAACTACCAGCTGCAATATATTCAGCTGCAGTGGTAGATAAAGCAACACAAGCTTGTTTCTTAGAATGCCAAGATACTAAGGATGAACCT